ACTAGTACTTTGACTGGTGCTGTTCCTCAAGATTAATCTCGTACCCTTTACAAATAATCAAAGGCTATAATAATAATAATGGTTCCTGCAATAGCTTTTGTACCTTTGAAATGCATTTATTTATATGTGTGTGACAGGGGAAATGTCTACTTCATTTTGGAAAATACCTCCAAGGTATTATATAACCTTTAGTCAAACTAAGAACACAATGGAACGTCCCATGCTGATCCAATCAGGATCATTTGATTTGCATGAAGACTAGCCAACTAGGTTCAGAGAACTTTGGTTCCATGCTGAAAGGAAGGAGAGCTTAGAAAGATGATAAATTATCTCTATCTCATCTCCATCTAATCTCTGAGAGATAGAGATATATATGATAGAGATAAATGATAGAGAGATAGTGATGACAGATGATAGATTGATGAGAGAGAGACAGAGAGAGACAGAGAGCGACAGAGAGATAGGGAAACCCAAACACACATAAATACATATGAACACATGTATGCTTTACTGGATTTTAATTTCATTACTCTGCAGCTGTATCCAGCAGCTGAGAGGACAGTTTTGAAAACTTCAGTCTAGGAGAAGTGTCATGCATGGAAATTCTATTAGCCTTAAACATGGGAAAGGTTTGGACAGATAAAGTAAAGGCCTTCAAGTGGTTTTTATTTTAAAATCCAGCCAAGGACTTGAAATATTGGCAGGCTGGACTACGATCAAAGACCTTTTGATTGTAAATCTTTCACCTGGAACTGTTACTTACTAAAGCTTATAGCCATTACTTTGAGGTCAGAGCCAGGTCAGGATTTCTCCAGTCTCTTTAGACCCCAAACTCAGAAACATACTCCTTATCTTTGACGCCATCTTGACATAAAAAACAAATTATGGCCCAAGTACCAAAGGAGCCATCCAAAAAGTTAGGAGTGGGGGCACCTTAAATGACAAGAACTGTCATGCACCTCCTTAAGACAACGTAAAGAAAGAAAAGCAATGATGCAATGATGATCCTAAAACTAGTTTGGCATAACTATCCATATACACATATACTCAGTAGCCTTGCTGTCTCCAATCATTTCAAGCAGTCTCCATGTGTCCCCAAGAACAAATCTGTTCTATTTATCTTTTCAGCTGCTTCCTAAAGTCCCAAAGTAGACATCTTGGAGTTCTTCAGAAGCTCTGGACTCTAACTCCCACTGGTAATTTTGCTGGCTTTATGGTATGATATGACAGGAATTGAAAACTTATGGAGGGTACCAGTGGTGGATTGCCCCCAGTTCGCACCAGTTCTATAGAACCGGTAGTAAAACTGGCAGGAGGCTCTGCCCATTGACCCTGACATGATGAAAACGCTTCTGCGCATGCGCAGATGCTTCTGTGCTTGTGCAGAAGAGCGCATATGCGCACAAGCGAAGCAAGCGTGCGCACGCGGCTCCGTTGCAAACCGGTAGTAAAGGTAAGTAGAACCCACCCCTGCAGGGTATCAAGTTATCAATCCTTGCTTTTTTTGTAATTGAGGGATGGAGCTTTTCAACTGAAGCATATTAAAACTTGACAGATTAAAAGAAGTATACTGTTTCCAAAGAGGTTAGCCTATTCCTTTGTATCTGCTTCATTCTAATGTCAGGAAGAACAACAAATCTTCTACATTATTTCTTTCTAGTTTTCATTCAGTCTGGTTTAAGGAAAATGCATTTCAAGGAGAATAAAATTTATTGTGAATTGGGAGTGGTGTTCATGCATTTACTGAATCATGAGATGGGCAAAGTGTGTATACTGTATATGTAAAGGTCTTCTCCTTCATTGTCCAATAGTTTCTCTGGCAAGCTAGACTCCCTTGGTCCTCATGTTTCAGTTAAATCTTAAGAGAAATGCCTCCTCTTACAGATCACTTTCAAGAACCCTACTGTTGTCATAACTAAGGGGTAATCCCAACCCTGGGAGGTGGTTTGAGAATTTCTCCTTCCCTTGAGAAGTGTGGAGAACCTTCACAGGTCAGGTCTTTTACATTGCTTTACATTTACCCCACCCAGATGTAAAATTATACATTTCTACTTGTTAAATTCTAAGCCACTGATGTCCACAGTTCAAGCCTGTGTGGACATTGTTTTTAATATTTTCTCTTTTATATACAAATACCTCCTTCCTAGTTTTATGTCTTCTTGATTGTCTCTTCAACTCCCTCAACCAAATCATTAATAAAAATCCACATGATACTACCTCCAAACTCAAGTTTCTCAGTTTCTACAACTATAGTTCTAGCCATTCAGATAACTAACAATATTATAACCCCTGGTGTCTCAGAAATTTCATATCAGAATGTATTACTAATTTTTAAAAAGATGTACACTAGACTAGGCTCCAGCAACTTCATCAAAACTAGATGGGCAAATAGCATTAGGGACAGGTTTCTATAAATAAAATGATTTTTCTTTTTATGAAAAAAGTATGTGAAATAAAAATGGGTTTAAATCCAGTAAATTTTAACATGTGAAATATTTCTTCTATAGATTTACTCTACCTTAGATGGTCCCATTGATCCTTGTGGGCCGATATTAACCATTTTGAAGAACCTGTTATAAGTGGCATATAATATTATAGCTGGATTATTTTTTAAAAAAAATTATATAAACTGACAACTGATAGATTTCCTAAAAGCTTGCACATACAATATCATTCCAGAAAAATTCCCCTCAGAAATAAATTAACCACAAAAATGGGAGTAAATAAACTGATTTAAATTGAATGAATTCAAATTACTTTCCATCCACTCTACATTTTGTGCTGGGTGTGATAAAGGAATGGTTTCCCCATTTTATTTTTTTTAATTTAAGGTATATAAAATATCCTTATGTTTATCTTGGGATGAGTTACCACTATTTCTTCATTTCCATCCTGATAAGTTACCATTCATATGGATTCATATAAGCATCAGACCAAGGCATCCAGCATTTGGTGTCATCCAAGTGGTAGACAAAATACATCCTGTCAGTTGACTAGCATAGATGTCTTTTACTGTGACTTCCTAGTAGCTTGTTTATGGAGAGGGTAGTTGAGAAGTTTTTCTCAACCTCAGCAATATTAAGATGTGTGGACTTCAATTCCCAGAATTTCCTCAGGATTCCACTTAGCAAGGCAAATAGCAGGCAAATAAGATCATATAAATGATTAAACCATGAAAAACTCAAGAACATCTGTGGCTTCCAACCTTTTTTTTTTAATTATCCAGTTCCAAAAGTCCCTTCTGACCTTGGCTGTCAAAACTGAGTGGATAAATGTCTTTGCCTGTGGAAGCAGGAAATACAAAAACCTGCCTGAAATATGTCTAATGTAAGAGAAGAAAATGGAAAATTAAAACCCAAGAAACTTCGCCTTCTTTCTATATGTTCATTTTGTGTTATTGCCAACTCAAGAGAGGCTACCGGTGGCAGAAGGCGGTTTCGTAGGTACCCAGGTCCTGAGCCATGGAGCGCTCTAAAGGTGGTAAGCAATACCTTGAAGCGCACCCGGAAGACCACCGGGAGCCAGTGCAGCTTGCGCAGGAGAGGTGTTACATGGGAGCGCCATGTCGCTCCCATAACCACTCGCGCGGCCGCATTCTGGACCAGTTGGAGCCTCTGGGTGCTTCTCAAGGGGAGCCCCATGTAGAGAGCATTACAGTAGTCCAGGCGGGAAGTGACGAGGGCATGAGTGACCGTGCATAAGGATTGGACTAGAAGATCTCCAAGGTCCATTCCAACTCTTTTATTCTGTTAAGTCAGGAGGAGCAGAAAGGCAAAAGAAACCATATCTCCTTCCCAGAGATTTCAGCTTTCTCAGAGGCCAAACATTCCCCTTCTAATTTCAGCTTTATTTCCATGTGCCTTTTCACCCCTGCTTTTTCTTTCTATTCCCCCTCCCCACTTTGTCAGATTGGTATTTTATTTGGCTCCGTGCTGTCTACAGGGCGGTCCTACTTAACCCTTTGCTTGCTGCCTCAAAGATAAGAATTGGCTCCCTTGAAATCAGATAAATAGTCTCATAAATACCAAGAAAAACAACAAGAAGGCCCTGTGGTTTTTGAACGACACTGTGCTGGAGTGTAAAGGATGGGCGGGGAGGGGGCGGGGGAGAGGAGAGGGGGAAGAGGCAGACAAGATAATTTGCCAAAAGGCCAAACGCATAAGTGCAGAGATGAGTCATGGAGCTCCCTGCAGGGCTCCCTGCTTACCTCTACATTGCTTAGGCACACTGTCAGGGCAGAGGGATGAGTGATTAGCCAATGCGGTGGAACCATTAGATGGGGGAAGATTCGCAGCTCCAGTTTAAAGGAATAATAATTAAGTTTTTTGCCTTCAGGCTTGCAGTAGAAAAATTGACAATAGCCCATTGTGGTGTAGTAGTGTTAAGGGATAAGGACGTGCGCTTTCATTGCCTAGATAATGAATTAGGGATTGCGAGACTCAGTAAATCCTCTACCTGACCTTAACCCACTTGTGTTATTTCAGCCTCCTATATGTAGTATGTGGAAAGTAACCTTCTCCTACTTAAAACAAGACTGTAAGAGTTTTGTTATTGATCACATGCATAAAATCGTATGAGTACATTGAAGAGTATCACAAATACAATGTGGAACGTTTGTATATTCCAAGAGTTGGGGGGCTATGCTGCAGTGTGGGTTGCCCCCGGTTCGGACCAGTTCTATAGAACCGGTAGTAAAACCAGCGCTGACGTCATCAGGAAGCTTCTGCGCATGCGCAGAAGCGCACACGCAGCTCCGTTGCAAACTGGTAGTAAAGATAAGTAGAACCGACCTCTGGTATGTCGTCAAATCAGCCTTTTCTCCTGGTGACTGCCTGGACAAGTCTCTAGAAATTTTGTGGCAAGATTTCAGAAGTGGTTTGCCTTGCCTTCTTCCTAGGGCAGAGAGAACATGACTGGCCCATAGTCCTTCCGCTGGCTTTGTGGCTCAGGCAGGACTAGAACTCACAGTGTCCAGGGTTCTAGACTGATGTCCTAGTGGCCACTACATCAAACTGACTTTCTTATCTTCTAATCTACTTTTAGATTAGTCTAACAAAAATATATTATATGGGAGCAGGATAAAAGTTTGTGCTTAAAAGTAGGACTTGGGGACATTGTCCTTTACTAAAGAGAGAGAAGGTAGGTTGGGGAGGTGATGATAAGAATATGTGACACAGCTCCACAAAAAGCAGTACAGTCAAATTTAGGAATAGAGGTACTAACATAAAGTTGAAGAATTGCTAATAATCTCTGTGACAATAGGAAAGCAGCAGCAATGTTTTGAATTGTGGAGAGAAAAGGTACTAGAGATTAGACCCGGTTTATATGTTTATTGTATGCTATTTGTGTCAAAGGGCAAATATCTGGTCCAGCAGTTATCAAAATATTCAGGCTGCCTTTGTTCTTATATAATGCGGAATGAATGTGAAGCATGAGGCATTCATCTTAAGAAGATACAGGAGTTCAGAATGCAATGCACTAAATGTATCTTTTCTTTTATGTACACTGAGAGCATATGCACCAAGACAAATTCCTTGTGTGTCCAGTCACACATTTTATTCTATTCCAAAATTATAAATAAATTGTTATAATAAATTATAATTATTGATTATAAAATTATTTATAATTTTATGTATAATTTATATATGTTCTAAATACCATAAATACCCTGCTGCACAAAACCAACTTTTGCTTCTTCATGTCTCATCTTTCATCTTTTATATTTCTGAAGAGTGGGGGACTATTTCTTCCAAAATATTCATGGAGAAGCCCTGTGTAGCAACCCTCTTTCATGGCATAAAGGGCAATAGCCAGAAAATACTATTTTTCAGTAACAATTTCAAATGACTAGAACAGTCTTCCTCCAGAAGTCAGGCTAAGCTTGAAAATTGAATACTTTCAGAGGCTTCCCCGATTGTGTACCATCTAGAACCAGATGTTATTACTGTTTTTTGCTACCGGCTGCAGTTACTGTTTAATGACATTATATTATGGTTTGTTGCACAGTCAACCAGATGTTCAGACTGGATTTGGTATTTTTATCCACCTATCTAGTGTTTTCCAAGGACCTGGGATAGACAGATCCTTGGGATGTTTGATGGTGTTAATGGTATCCTTGCAGGATGTAAGCTGTTCCAAGTAAAGCTGCCTTTTTCCATTAACTGTACTATTATTTGAGTTAAAAGTTGGTTTATTCCCCTGAAAATGCTTTATTATATGTTACGTTGTAAATGTTAGGCACATTTACACCACATGTTATATGGTGTGAGCTGCTATGAGTTTGATAAATTCACCAGCATAAAACTTTAATAAACAAATAAATAATAAATAAGTAATTGGTTAATTGAAGTCCTTAATCTTGTACAGTAAGGTGCTATGGCATTAGGTGAGAGTCATAAAGGAGGAGCAGAATCTTCAAAATTTAATCTCATTGATGTTAACAATGGCCTCTCCTTCCGCTATTTTTAAACCAGTCCGTTTAATTCTGAACATACAAGTAATCCCTAAACTACAGCTCACTGCAGAGCTCAAATCTACCTGAAGGAAGAGAGCTGAACTCCCCCCCCCTCCAGTTTCTCAATAGAGAATTAAGCAATATGGGTGGAGAAGGTTACTAAGATTTTGAGAAATGCCGTGACAAGTCTTTAAACTGTGCAGGGATAAGTGTTGACATGATATAAGGCAAGGGTTAGCCTTTAGGATCAAAGAGGCACATCTCATATCCCTCTGCCCTTTTCCTGCATGAGGGAGAGGGAAAGGTAATTTTTCTTTCCTGTCCAACAACAAAAAAAAAAAAAAAAAAAAAACCCAACCCTTTCCAATTCAGTTTCCAGTTTCCAATTAAGCGTGTGGTTATCCTATCCTGAGATGCATTTTAACAGGAGAAAGTATTCTAAAAATATTAGGCTTTTATCTCTTTTTGCCCTGATACTGGTAGCATTGGTGTACAACCATTAGGATCAGAAGACCATTAAGGTCTGGTTTGTGCACTTTTACCAGAAACACAATTGGATTTTGTCTTGCACTTTTCCCTTCTGGAAATGCATCTCAAACCACATGCTGAGTCCTGTTGGTCAACCAACGGCATCTCCATCTGATGCTACCACTTCCAGATGAATACACTGCTGGCTGACCAATTACACTCAGCATTTGGCCTTCAAGGGAGCTACCTCTACATGGAGGTTTTTTTACAAAAGACTGAACAACCATTTGTCCAGGATGGAATAAAACTCCTGTCTTGAGCAGGGGGTTGGACTAGAAGACTTCCAAGATCCCTTCCAGCCATATGATTTTATTTCTATTTCCTTCTGCCCCCACCCTCCTGCCCCAGGTCTTTCAGGCTCAGGCAGAAAATGCAAAAATATTGATTAGAACTGTAGAGAAGTCTTTTTTCAACTGGACCCATTGACTGGGGGGACTCCAAGACCAACTTGTGGAGACGGTGCTCTTCTAGAGGAAAAATGAACACGTAACACTTCAAGGTCCACCTTGTATGTATTATCTTGATATAATCTGGAATCTGTATGGAGGATACACCCAAGGGAGCAAATGAACTAAAACTAAAAGAAACAGGCTTGCTTAAGGTGACCTACTGGTGTCTGAACTGTTTTTGTATTCGCGGTTCCACCATTAGGCCATGCCAGAGCTCACTGCCAACTGCAAAAGTCAAAATAGATCACCTTTTCTTTGGTGGGAAGGAGAAAAAGAGAATGCTTCCTAGACCTGCATGTTTCTATAGCTTCCACTTGTTAGCTGTTTTAGTATAGGGGTGTCAAACTCGATTTCGTTGAGGGCCGCATCAGGGTTGTGTTTGACCTCGGGGGTGGGGGACGTGTGGCCAGCTTGACATTGTGTCAGGAGTGCATGTGGTGGCCCAAGTGCTCTGCCAGCAAAAACTGGCTCCTGAGCTCTGTTTCTGGCTGTGACAGCCTCTTGCAACCCTCTGCCAGTGAAAACGGAGCTCAGGAGGGCTACGCATGGTCCTCCCAGCCTCTTTTTGCTGTCAGAGACACCGCGGGCTGGTCCTTCGCTGTTTCCAGAGCAGCCCCATGAGCCAGATCTAAGCACCTTGTGGGCCATATCCAGCCCATGGGCCTTGAGTTTGACACTCCTGTTTTAGTAGTTTGCCTAAATCAGGGGTCTCCAACCTTGGCAACTTTAAGACTTGTGGGCTTCAACTCCCGGAATTTCTCAGCCAGCAAAGTCCACAAGTCTTAAAGTTGCCAAGGTTGGAGATCCCTGGCCTAAATGATGCCTAGGACCTTTGTCACCCTCCCTCTAAGGTTGCTGTAGAGAAGAAAAATAATGGAGCACCGAACTGAGCAAGCACAACAACAATTGGGCTTGTTACTTGAAAAGTGCAGCTGCCCACGGATTCTGTATCAGTTGGTTCCAGAATTTTTGAATTCCTTGAAAGTTTAGCCAGTGCATAACATTCGTACTGATTTCCTGTATCTTAATATCTTTATGAATTCTCTTAAGGATTTACATTTTAAGGAGAATGCCTTGCCAGCAATCCCTATCATGAAATTAGCAGCAACTTCACATCAATGCAACGAATGCACTAACAGAAAAATTCTGAAGTGTGCTTACTTATGCATTTGTACACCACTTTTATATATTTTTGCTTCTGAGCAAGATCTGTATTTGCACCACTGGAAAATGAGTACAGTAGTTTAAACAAATATCCTGGTCTCCCGATATAATTCCAAATGATAAAGTAGGGGGAAAAAATCAGTACAGGTATCCTCGGCTTACGACCAGAATTGAACCCAAAATTTCTGTTGTTAAGTGAAAAATTCATTAAGTGAGATTTGCCTGATTTTACAACCTTTCTTGCCACAGTTGTAAAGTGAATTACTGCAGCTGTTAAGTTAGTAACATGGTTGTTATGGTAACTGAATCTGGCTTCCCCATTGCCTTTCCTTGTTAGAAGGTCACAAAGAGTGATCACATGATCTGAGAACACTGCAACTATCATAAATATGAGTCAGTTGCCAAGCATCTGGATTTTGATCACATGACCATGGGGAGGCTCCAATGGCCATAGGTATAAAAAATGGCCATAAGTCACTTTTTTCAATGCCATTGTAACTTTGAACGGTTACTAAACGAACTGTTTGTGTAAGTCCAGGACTACCTGTACACAGAAAGAAGATGATAATCACTGTTAGGCACCCTAATGGTGTGTGCAGGTGTCTGTCTGTCTCAGCATGCTTCCTGTCTTCTTGCAATGGATGATTGAAAATATCTGCCTTTTTGAAAGACTCATTCTTGAAATCAGTTCTTCCATCTGATTATCCTCTAGAAAGCTGAACATAAAATACCCAGAATTTCCCAGTCAATATTGCCATCGTGTTCAGATTGGAAAAGTCTGTTCTTACTAGGAAACTAACTTTTGAGGAGGAGGAAAATAAATAGCAAAGACGTCTTGGAACTTACTTACTGTGTCATAGAAACCAATTTAAAGGGACTGTTTTTCTTGGCCAAACCAGTAAACTGGATTTTCTTTTCTTTCTTTTTGTTCTTCCCCTGAAGTTCTGTGGAGCTACTGTATGTCTCCATGAATATACAGATGTGAAGTGATCCAGATCCCAGACATTTGTACTTTTTATATGTACACAGGACACAGACACCTGATACACAACTCCCAATTCTCCATTTTTTTCCCAAGCTATGAGACATAGAAGATGACTGTTATGATCAGACCTAGCATTCTTCATGTTTGCTTCGAGGTTATCTTCTACAAAGTGTACTTGAGTTGGACCGTGTAATGCATGTTTAAAGTGGCTGCATGGCTTTCCAGGGAAGTGATAGACTTGCTACGTAGGGAGGAGAAAATTATGCTCCCATTTATGGAAAACTACTGAGCTAATGCCCAACAAGTTTCTGAAAGCTCGGAATCCAGTGGAAGTCCACATTAGCCTTACTTCAATGGCAATTTCTTCACTACAAGCTCACTTTTCATAAGCCCCTCCCCCCCCCACAAAGCTATAACATAAGACAGCTGATCTGGATCTTGGGTTCTCAGCAGTCCCAATGCAATAGTCACTCCAAAGGAGGGGTTTCACACTGGACCTGGCTATTTCATCTTCTTCTAATCCTGGATAGATGCATGGTTTGGATAGGTGGGGTTAGGCAGAGTCTGATGCAAAACACACAAAAGGCAGACCCCTACTATACACTCTCTTGACATTTCTTTGAAAATCAATAGTTCAAGGTTGACTCAGCCTTCCGAGGTCATAAAATGAGGATCCAGATTGTTGGGGACAATATGCTGACATTGAAAATCACCCAGAGAGTGCTGTAAAACACTATGCAGTGGTATATAAGTCTAAGTGCTGTTGCTATTGCTTTAACTCTCTGAATCTGGAAGGTTCTTGGCTGGGAAAAGCTGTGATAGATAACAGATTACATGTAATAGTTATGCACATGTAGTCAGCATTTGAGTGGCATCAAACATCTGCATCTAAAGTTAGAGGAGACTGCTGTTGTGTGAGGTCTGGTCCCTGAAAGTTTGTGGCAAATACAATGATGCAGTTCCAAAATGCCTATAATGTTAGCTCTTGATCACAGAACAAGAACTGCCAATCAACCAAGCAGCTGCAATGGATTTCCTGAAAAGGCAGAGCAGGATACAGAAAAGCAGATGCTGACTGGGGATGAGGGGAATAGTAGCCCAATACATCTGAGCTAGGAAAGGATTATTTAGGATGAGGCACATAAAAACCCTTTAAGAAATTATTCCTGTAACAGAACACCATGATTCTGCAGGAATAAAAAGACGTTCAATTTGCTGAACTTTGGTCCTGGCAAAACTTTCCTGTAAAGTTTTATATTATAATCAACAATGTATCCTCTAATTTCCACCATTTATGCCATGGGATGTGCTGGAGAGGGGTGGGGGAAGACAGCCAAGGCTATGGAACCAGTTATATAAAATTATTGGTGTTGCATGAATTAATTTTGTTTGCTTTTTCTAAAAACACTGGATTGGATTAATTGCAGGAAGAGAGTCATGTCGATCTATGATAGCAATAAATCAGGAGTCTGGTAGCACCAGTCATTTTTAATAGTCCAGACAAGTTAATGGGATTCTAGTTGCCCATTATTACTTAAGGGTAGTCTTAACATGACAAAACTCTGTATTAACCTATTGATTCCTCTGGAATGCTAAACATCTCTCCTACTGAAATAACTTTAATTTCCCCTCATTTCAGTGAGATATGTTTACGCATTTGTTACAATCTGTGTTAAATAGCTTAGACCAAACTTAGTGCTTAACTTAGTGCTGGTTGTGTTAAAACTGCAAGAGAACAACTCAAAAGCTTCTTTATATGCTAACATTTAAGGAGGTTGTGAATCAGCGTCTGTGTGATGTCTGGGGGGGAGGGAGAGGGGTGCTGCCTAGGGCTTTCAAAAAAAAAAATACTGCTAGGTCTGCAAACTATCAAGCAACTATAAACAATTTCCTTCATAGGATTGTCATATGTGCTTAAGATACCAAGCTGGCATTTGGTAAGATCAATAAATATGAAGCATTTTTTTAATATTACGCTTCTTTCAAATAAATCTGTGTTCTGTACTGTATATATTTGTGTAAATATAATTGACATCATGTTTATTTCTTTGAAATACCTCAGCCTCACGTTGCTGGATAGTTTATAGTAGCATAAAAATAGGTGCATCGGTCACCAAGGAGGAAGAGAAGGAGCTGAGCTAACAACCTGCACAAATCATGAAAACCCAATTCTTTAAGTTAGTTTGGCTTTGGCATCTTTACAGCTTCCTTCCCTGCTGCTTGAATCTAACCAAGGTTTCTTGTATAATTCGAATTTCTGGGTTCCCCAGTAAACACCCGAAGAACTATGGCCAGGCCTAAAAAATGAGGCTTGCCTCTCTGCACTCCACCAACATGTCATGAGAGAAGGGAGAGAGGCCAGGTGGTATGTTGTTCTTTTTCCATAAAGCTTTTCTTTATTATTATTAATAATAATATTTTAAAATCCTCATAAATACTTGACTTGGCAAACCTGTCTCTTAGGAAGTGGTCATACAGATCTGAGGTAGAAAACCCGGTACAGACAATGTATCAAATTCACCCACATAGGTAGTTTAAATACATCCAACATAAAAACAAAGGGGGTGGGAGTGGAAGGTTGGGGGGGGCAAAAAAACGGGGAGGGAGAGAGGAGGACTTCGATGTATTGTTTATTTACATATTTTTAAAGCACTATAAGCACCGTCCAGCCCAAGGGAAGCATGGCTACGTCCCATGGATTTCAACGGGAGGGTTATGGTAATGTGCTTAACTCTCCCGCTGAAATCAATGGGTGGTTAGAAAGTGCTTAACGGTGGCCGACCGGGCACGTTTCCCGCCTCCTTCAGAAAAGCGGAAACCTCCGAGCGACCAGCCGCTGTGACTTCTGGAAGGCATTGCCGTTCCCGCGACAGCGCCCAGATCCAATCTCAGATCGACGACGGTACCGGTTTTAGCTGAATCAGCTGCAGAACCGAGAGCCTGACGGGAACCTGCTCCGGGCGGCGCTTCTTCTGCACAGAGGCGCTGGGGCTGCAGGGACGGTTGAAGAAGGCAGGGAAGGAACGGAGGCGGGTACCCAGAGTCTTCGCCTACCTGGGCCGGCCGAAGAGAAAAGGATCGACCCCTCATCATGCGCGGGGCGGCACGGCCAGTGGTAGCTGGGGAGGGTGGTAGGGAAGGAGGTTGCCGCGGTGACGAAACGGGGGGGAAGCTGTTTGGATCGCTGCTTGGCGAAATCCAGGGACAGACGAAGAGCCCCGTTGGTGACCGAGGAACGGCGGTCCCGTGCTGCTCCCCCTTCTCCCTTCCTTCCGAGGAGAGGTGCCTAGACGGCTTTTCCGTTGCTCGTTAGAGTCCTCTCCTTCTCCAAGCACGGAAATCACAGCGGCGTCCCGGAAATCCAAGCAGGCCGTTGGAAAGTCGCCTCTCCGCCTCTATCCACTTTTTCCAGGGCTGTGGGGTTTTGTTTTGTTTTAAAGAAGGGAAATCATCTCTGGCGCTTCGGACCTACGCGGAGGAAGACGCACCCTGGTGCCGACAAATTTAAAACAGGGAGTGGGAGACACAAACGCTTGGCTTTCCGACGAGTTTCACAGAAAGTAGAGAGTTCCACAGACAATGAATCACGTGTGTATGAATAGGTTCGGATCCAAGTTCAGCCAAGGGCTTGCATGCTAGTTTTCGGCCTCGCCTCCTCCTTTTGTAGGGTTATTATAGTATCCTCCACCGCGGCTCCGACATTGCACAGGCCCTCCCGACGTTTCCATAGCAAATGAAGGGAAAAGCTGCACGGCTGCTCTTTGGCACGGCAGGAAAGAGGGAGAAGGCGAGCTGCGAAGAATCCCGCCGGGCCATCTCGTCGGGTTCGGTTTGCCACCGCAGTTATTAGATTCTTCTTCGTCGCAAACGGGAATTCCGGAGGGTCATTGATTCAGTTCCAGCGCCCAGACCTGCTGAGGCCACCCAGTCCTGCCCTTAAGCCTTTTTTCGCCTTGACCTAAAACATGAGAATATCCCACGGGCTGCTGCAGAAAAGTGAAAGGGGGGAGGGGGGAGAGAGACAGAAAACAGTTATTTTAAAAGAAAGCTTCGCCATGATTATCAGACGTGGGAATCGGAGAGGTGGAATACAAGAAAAAGCGATCCGTCTTTCTCAGCCTCGATCCAGCCCAAACGAAGGCGCCAATGGGAGGCATTTAAACCCAGGCTTAACTCCAGCCCATCGGAGAGGCCCATCGTCCTTAATCGGTATAAACACAGTAAGCCCGCACCTTAGCAGGCTACAAAGACAGGAGGCAGCGCCTGACTGCTTTTTGGTTACCTGATGCCTCTGTTTGCAATTTTCCCTCGAGAGGCTGTAAATAAGAACCCAGCGTTCTCCCGCTCTTTTGGAGTATTAGATTATCAGGAGGAAGGCAATAAATTCCTTGCCTTTATTAACTGCCTTTTTATAAATATCGAAGGCCGTGTTTGGTAAACCCAACCGGCCCTACTAAATTATGTTCCTTTATTAAGCCTCTAATTGCCAAGGCGGTTTCAGTAAAAGTTTGGGCAACAGCACTGAATAAATAAGAAAGTTTATACAGGCTCTTGGAAAATGTAAACGCAGAACGTTGAATATGTTTAATTTTTTAAAGAAAAAGAAAGGCTTATTTTTAAACAACTCATTTGCTGGATTTTGAAATGTGCTTTTTCAGTCCTTTCTTCCCCCTTATTTTTCCCCCCAAAGGTAATTCAAGAGATCTGAAACGGAATATAGTTCGTTTAAAAGGGGTGGGGGGAGGCGAAATACTTGTCACCCGTTGTATACCTCAGTTGGGAATCTCCAGGCCTCGGGATCCCGAAATGGACAAGTGACAGTCGCTTCAAGTATGTATATAAAACACTATCGTACTATAAACGTATACAATGTATATAAATAATATACACAAAAAGCAGACCTGGTGAAAGAGCGATTAGGACTGATCTCTCCGTAATTGTATGAGCTTTGAGTGATACAACCTCAACAACAGGCAACACAGACTTACAAAATCAATCGCGGGTTTCGAACTTGATGCTTGTATTAGAATCTCATCCTCCTCAGTCAGCCGAGCTAACTGGAAAGGAAAAGGTTTGATCGTTGCCTTTCATATCCCAGGTCAAAAGCTGCATTTTCACCATTCCGGCAAAGCCATAGACAGCCGTAGACATTGGACAGAACAGTTTAGCAAAACACGGGACCGGGGTCTGTTTTGTTTAACAGAGGGAGAGGGGGAAAAAAGAAATCAAATCAAATCCGCAGAGAGCTTCGACTATTGTTTTGCTTGGAAAGACTCCACTCCTGTGAGCATATAAGTGTTGGTCGCAAATTGCAATGTGTGTATATATATATGGGGGGGCGGGAGAGATTTTCCAGAAAAATATATCGGCAGCATTTAAAACAAAAACGGGGGGAAAATCCATGCAGGGAACTTTGGACGAATTTTAAAACTTTTAATCTCCTTTGAAGCACTAAAACAAAGTCTCGGTGGCGGGTCCTACAGTGGGGAGTTTCGGCCGCACAGAAGAATCCACGCAAAAAAAAAAAAAAAAAAGGTAAAGCAAATGCAATGGCTTAAGAAGAAGTACAAAAAAAGAGTAAACGATTGTTGAGGTCCAAAAGTCTTAAGTTTGGCTAAAAAAACTTCAAGGACTGCATTACATCTTGTTTCCCCCCTCCCCCGTGTTAAATCTGACAGCTTTCCGACTTCGGAATCCACCTAGAAAATCCTCCCCTCTACCCCCAACCCCACTAAAAGTGAGGTCCATTCTTTAGGAAGAGCCCGGGAGAGAAAAGCTTTTCGCCACCTGTCAAAAGGAGTTTTCAAAAGCTTTGCAGTTTTAAGTCTTCTCTACCCATCTCATTCGGCAGAGACTCCGGCTGAGCCTAGCCCCACTTAATTCCGCGCAAGCAAGAGATACAGCAACGCCGTCTCCCTTCCGAGTGTTGTGGTGTCTTACTGGAGAACAAGGATTTGAGGTACGCTGGAAGCTTTCGGAGTAACCGCAAAACCGCACATCATCCCCAGTATTTCCGGCCCAAATGCATTTGTACGCCGGCTGTGTCTGCATCGCAGGATGGCGGGCAATCGCTAGCAAAGGTTACGCTTTGCGTTGCCAAATGTGCTGCATCATAAATCCTAGTTTCCTCGGGTTTCTGTCTAGGGACGATGGGAAACGACGCCCTGAAAAAAAATGTGGGGAGTTGGAGCTTCCAAGAGAGAGAACGAGAAAAGGGGACGCTTTGTTGCAGCCTCTTGGGAACCTCACCCCGTTCTCTTCAATATTCTCCTCCATTTCGGTCCCGTTCCCCCATCTCTCTAAACATCGGCATCTCCAGCTCCCTCGGGTTTGTGCGGGCTGTAATTTTGAACAGAATTCGTTCCCAAAGAAATCACCTCGCGTGGGGGAAGAGACGTCCGCCTTTCTCGAAGGGAGAAGGCTTTGCTCCGCTGCCCGAGACTTCGGGCGCTCAGGCAGGCGGAGCCGTCAGGCGCTTATCAACCACCTTGCAGAGGTCAATTCACCGAAAAATGCCTTTGGGCAGGGAAAGTGGTGTCTCAGCAGCTCCCGCTTGCCACGCTTGAGCCCAGGGATTTCAGATGCTCTGTGCAAAAGGGCCAAGGTTGGACCATCTCCGGCCTCTTCACTGCAGATTGTGAGGAAGAAAGAGACGCCTTTTCCGCCCCGAACTATGTGGGGCAGTTCGGCAGAAAAAGGACCCTGGTCGCGCTAGCGCAGCTTGGAAGGTCCGGTTCCTTTTCGAGGGGAATTCACGAACAGAAGCGCCGCTTGGTTTCAGTCAAGGTTGCGCACGAGCCACTCGCTGTAGCTAGACGGCCCCGAACCTGGAGCGCTTCGAGCGCGCTCTTAACACACCACCTCGGCTGCCGCTTCCTCGGCTTTCCCAAAGGGCATCGAGGTTGAAAGACCTGACCCAGAAGGGTTGGGGTAGTCACGTTTTTGGCAGCCCGAAGGCGAGGCGGGGAACTTGTAGCGGGCAGGGGAAAGAATTTTGGTCCTGTAATCCTCTGCCCAGGGCTTTCAGGCTGCTCCCACGGAGCAGATTTACTGCAGAGCAAGTGGGTGCTGGACTGGGGCCATACTTGGCTATAAGCGGGGCTCACACAATACACTCACCTAGATTTAACTAGTTGTCAGGTTTTGTACAACATACCGAATAGTAAACTAATGGCCCCGGGCTGATTTGGCAGTATGAATCCACTGTAGTGCATTCATCCACTACAGAATCACTTCTCTGACGCAGGACTCAACGGGACTTTCAGTCTCTGCCTTGAAGATATTCCTTGCCACTGCTCCACGTTTAACCCAGAGGGCCTTAGAATCCTACATTCTTGAGCCACTCTTTCATTAAGTGCCTGGGAGCTGTAGCCTAACAGGGCTGAAGAACCCTCGGTGGCCGTTGAAGGAATTTGGTGCTGCACAGCCTTCAGTGCCTAAGGAGATTACTGGCAGGATGAAACCACCAAGCGATGGGGAATTTTTGTAGGTGTCTTAAGGAAACTAAAACCAAAAACCTGCCAGGACTGAAACAGAGCACCTTTGCCTGGTGAATTCTCATAGAAATATTGCTGGTTGCAGAAATATTCTTTCCAGAGACAAAGGAAATTGGAGAAGAGCACCTCTGTGGCTGTGTTCGCACAACAAGTTTAATCAGAGCTAAAGACTCTTAAATGTGGCGGAAAAATGCATTTCCACGTTTCTTTTTTTAAAATATGACAGTATGTTGCAGGAATCCAGATGCATCAGCTACTTTATAATCCAACATATTGTAGGAAATTGTTAATTCAAGAACGAGCATAAACCTCATATATGGACTTTCTGTCTCTTTGGCTTTCCTTTTGCACTTAGTCTTTTCACTCACTGAACATCTCCCAGCTACATCATTCCTCAATTCAAGAAGAACTTTTCTTCTGGGTCATGTCTCATGAAACATAAGTAGGGGGCATAGGATTGGTCTCCAAGACTTTAAAAAAAAAACAGCATTCCAAGGTCATTAGAATGCTTAACCATATTCACTTGGAAATTAGTTCATGGGTTTTCTATTGCATCTTCAAAACCTTCAAAGATAAAAATGTGTGTGAGTGAGCTTTACTACTGGTTTTATAGGGTTGTAGATCACATGTATGGTTTAAGTTCATCCAATTCAGTTAAAACTGGTCAAATAAAAACCTAGCAGTTGTATTTGATAAATGTAGTAAATGTTAAGATTAGCGTCACTTCTTTTAATGTTTGGCTTATTGGACAAATGCAGTCTCCCCTTGTGTTAATCTAATATATGTGTATCCACAATTAAATAACTAGCTTATTTATGTAGCTGGTTCCCATACCTCCAAACAATACCACCAACCACCTCCAAAGTCACACTTCTGCCCTTTCTCCTGGAACTCCAGGGATCTGACATCCTTTATTGTTGGAAATGTGTAGTTCTCTATGGTTGCTCATCTGTAAATTTCATATAAATGGACCAGAGTTTCATTTGGTGGCCATTAAAATTTCATAGTGTTTACTTTCAAACTACAACATAAGAATGATGGGGTGCTGAGTATCTTTACAAAATTCTCAAGTTGTTAAATGATTTTTTTTTAAAAAAAGCTTGGTTTACAAAACACAATGCATCTCAAACAAGCAAATCACAATTTGGATTTACATGCTTTGTAAACAAAGTCAGTATCTAAGCACCAGGTTTAACTGTACTATTCAGACACAGCCCACCACTATTGCAATAGAAACCTATGGCTGTTTATGGAGATTCTCAATCATCCAGATCATGGTTGTCCCAAAGATACTTTTTCCAAAAGGCAACTGGACTTTGTGTGCGTTTTTCCCCACTCTCCTTTGAAAACGTTTCCTTTCTCAGCCAAGAAGCTTCTTCAGATCTTTGAAAGGGAAAGGTTTATAAAGGAAAGAAGGAAAAAAACCAAAGAAAGTCCAATAGCCTTTCTGGGAAAAAAGCATCTTTGGGGAAATCTGTGGGTGGATAATGCCAAACCACCTGAAGCTGGGCAGGAAGCATATGCTGATATTTCCATCTCAAAGGTGCCACACGGGAAATAACATAAGGGATTCCACTCTTTAAAAAAATAAATATATTGTTTTAAAACAATGTTATATCTAGTGCCATTCCACCGCCAAAGTGTTGGTTGAGATTTTAGTTCTTTCAAAAAGACTAAGCAAATTTTGTAGCTTTGTCTTAACGAGGCCAGGGGATCAGATCTGGAATTTTGGGAGGCCTCTTCAAGACAGGAGTGAATGCAGAGGTGCCTCCCGCACACGTGTCAAGATCCCGATACCAGAGGACACACCCGCTCTTGGCAAACCGCGGCTTGTTTATGCGCTTGCTTTGACGGGTAGCGATTTGGAGGCGAGTACCCACGTTCTGACCTACAATTAAGGACGCGATCTCCTCTAAGCGTATGCAGAGTGCCGACCAGTCTGCATCCTGCCGATCCTAAGAAAACGCCCTTCCCTCCAAGGCTCCGTGTGAGCATCATACATAGAATAGAATTCAATTCTTTATTGGCCAAGTGTGATTGGACACGCAAGGAATTTGTCTTGGTGCATACGTTCTCGGTGTACATAATAGAAAAGATACATTCATCAAGAATCATAAGGTACAACACTTAATGATAGTCATAGGGAAACAGTCAATATAAATACATCTCCCCCCCCCAAAAAAAAAAATATTAAAAAATCCCGGATTCTTACCGGCTGCTCGCGCTTCCTCTTGGCGTCGCGGGGCTCGGCCTTCTTGAGCTCGGCCTTGAAGCCCTCGGCGGCCGGCCCGTCCTTGGCGAGCACCTCCATGAGGTAAGCGATGTAGCTGGTAGCCAAGCGCAGCGTCTTGATCTTGGAGAGCTTGGTGTCGGCCGGCACGTTGGGGATGCACTCGCGCAGCTCGGCGAAGGCGCTGTTCAGGCTCTCGGTGCGACGCCGCTCTTTGCGCGGGGCTCCAGGCGCCGGCCCGGCCCTCCGGCGCCCAGCCAGACGCCCGCCCAGCTCCGAGGGGCTGCTGCCGTAGGACGAAGAGGGAGAAGCCGAAGAAGCCAGCCCGGCCGCAGCGCACACCAGCTCCGGAGGCGGCGGAGGAGGAGGCTGAGGCGGCGGGGACAGCTCGGCCGACGCTGCGCTCAACAGCCAGCCCTGCGCGAAGGGCCGGTCGGACGCTGCCGCCGCCGCTGGGAAACATCGCGCCGGGGGCGGCGGTGGGGGCGGCCCGAAGAGAAACGGCTCGTGCAGCAAAGCGCTGTGCGGGTGGTGGTGCGGGTGGTGGTGGCCCTGGTAGCTCCCCACCACGTTCATGGCGAGTGCCTGGCGCTACGAAGCCATGAGCGGGCGAGCGGCCGCCTCCACACACCAGTCCCCGACCGGGCTTGTCCGCTCCGTTTAGCTCGCCGCCTCGGCCCTGCTCCGTTCCTTCCCCTCAGCTCGGCCTTTATACAGCGGCGGGGCTTTTGATGTCAGGGGGAAGGGAGGGGATTGGAGGAGAGGTGGGGGGGGAGAGGAATAGGCGCGCGCACGCACGCAGGGATGCACGCAAGCGTCCTGGCGGCGTCGAGGAGCTCACCCTTTCTGAAGCCGGACGCTCGGCCCGGCCTGGCCTAGGCCCGCCTATGAGCCGCTCTGGGCGGCCTTGTGCCCAAGCTCGGATCCCAGCTCCGAGGAAAAGAGCCCACCGCTAGAATCGGCCTTGCCGGCTTTGCTTGCCCTGCCGGGGAGAAATAGCCCCGAGAGGCTTCTCCGCCTCCTCTTCCCCCCCCCCCCCCCCCCCCCAGGAGCGTCCCTGGGTTGGAGAGCGAAAGGCGTTTGCCCCGGGCTGAGGCCTGCCTGACCTTAAGGACTCGCTCTCGCATCGCTTCCCCCGTTATCGGCTCTCTTCGCGGTGGGACCGCCAGAAACTGGTCGCTCCTCGAAGGCTGCGTCGAGGGGCCAGAAAGCGAGATACCTCGGCAGATCCCGGCCTCTGCTTCCCCGCTGGAAGGGCCTTCGACGACCCGAAAGCGGATCGGCAGGGCAGGCATCACCCGCGCCGCTTCCTTCCCGAAGCGACCTTTCCTGGCGAGGCAGGCTGCGTCTCTGTGTTGTGGGGTTTTTTTTTGGTAAGGAGACTTCTCAGCAGCCCCGTCTCCATCGAGTGGTCGGGTGATTCTCCCGGAGAACTAGGCTCTTGATCGCAAGCCTCAGAGGGATACTTCGAAATTGCCCCAGGGCAACAAAAGAATAATAATAATAAAAGACGAGAGAGGGTTGTTCTAACCTGCAGGGATTTAATACTGTATGCTACTTCTTTTATTTTCTTGGACTCTCACTTATCCCCGAAATCAATCCACGTCTACGTTCGCTGAAGATGGTTGTATTTCAGGACAATCTAATTTCCAAGGGGAGAGGGGGGATATTTCAAATAGTATACCAAATAGTATATGTTCCAGATTTCTGACTTCTTAAATTCTTTTGATCTTGTGTGGGAGAGCTTTCCACCAGATCTGAACAGTACTTTGCTTGAGGTAACTCCTCCAAGTTTTGCAGTAGAGGTTGAGGCTTTATCCTTATTGTCAACGGGGCTCTGTTGTCTTAGGCATTAGGTGAAGAAAATGAGTTTCTTATTACTCCTAATCTGAGCCTGAAATTTTCCTCTTCCAGCCATTAGGAAGAAGGAGGAATTAAAATTTGGGTTGGAAGAGGTTTGTAAACCTGAGGAAAGGTGAAATCTATGGTGTTCACTCTGAAAAGGGAAAATCAATGGCCACTGATTAAGAGATTACTTTTATTAGTGCAATGGAAGGTTTAAATGTTAATGTGCAAGATTTCAGGGATCCAATAATTCATCATAAAGAGATAATCTTTGTTACCCTGAAAACCTTAGATTTAGGGTGCAATTATCTGCCCACTTTCCTAAACGTGGAGGGGAAAAAAAAAGCTCAACTGGACATTGAGTGGTTCTCCGAGGAACTGCACTGATGAAAGGCAAGGGCAGACAACAAAGTAGGCAGTGAGGTCCAATAGTTATTAGAATATTAATGTTTCTGCTCTGTATAATTCCGGTGCCTTGTATGGAATAAACACTGAAAACAAACCAACAGTCACAAACTAATTTTAGTGGAGCACTTTTAGTCAATTTTATTAGAAATGATCGATCAGGCTGCAAAATTGGTACACCATTCATACAACCCACTTTTTTATAACACTTTTTTATGAACAGAACAAATACCGAATACTTCCTGCATCTTCTCCTGTTCACAAAGTCATAACCAACTAGGAACAAATCTATAATACTGTACACAGCAGTCAGAAATAAATCTAATTACAATCAAAAGGGTTACTTCCTGTAATGCGGGCGCAGACATTACTACAGTAGGAAAATCCAGACTGGAACATACTTTATCGTGTTTGTGGACATGTGAAATTTGGATGATTCCCTGAGTCACTCTTTATTCTTGGCATTCTGGGCTGAAATAACACGGGTTTATAACAGGTCTGAATTCATTTTCTACGGTAGGTAAGTGAAATTGTCTTGTGCAAGGCATTTCTGTGCCTCAATGTCACTGTTTAGAATTCTCTGTGTATCAACCATGCTGCTTCTCTCATCACAGATGATGTTTTCTATTAAAAACAGAACTAGAAAATAGATCAGGAGAGAGAGAGAAAGAGAGAAGAAAATCAAGATGGAATGGGGGAAAAAAATGATCAAATGGACCAGTAATCAGTCCGCTCACCCCACACCCACCTCTAACTTTCATTTGCCTGCAGCAAGTTTATTTTTTTAGCTGGTGGACCTTTGTTTTTGTTTTTCTCTGCTGGAGCACTAACCAAGCCAAAATTTCTCTTTTCTGGACCAGCTTCCAAGAGAGTGTAATGAATATGTCTGCATTGGAAGTGGCAAAACCGTCTTCTCCAGCTGCAGAAGCCCACCAAATGCATTGATTCATCATTCCTACTAGCTCCTTTAAGGTTTGGAAAGGAGTAGGGATTGTGGAAAGCATAAAACAGACTTCAACCCAATATTTCTGGAGGAAACTGCATGGCATTGCATTCTGCTTCCACTGGTGCTTGGCCGCCATCTCTGTTAGTCCATTTACTGCCCTCCAGGAAAATTGAAGTGTGCACTGGTTGAGGGTTATGGGGGCTGTAATCCAATGTATCTGGAGTGAATGCGATTGGAGGACATTTCAATAGCACAGGCATTAGAAAAAGAGAGATCCAAATCTGCTGATAGATCTCTGAACAGGCGACTCCAAGGGTCATTCCAGAATAATTAACATTAACTGGAAAGAAAAATAAAATTTACCTGGGGTAACCAGGTAGCCCTTTGCTTTGAGAGCTTAACAATTTTGTGGTGTAATTATTTATTCGTTGTTGTATAGCTTTCAACCTTCATCCTGAACAACCTCATTGTGTGATTTTGGATACAAATAGGCCAAATCCTTAATGTTTTGATCGATAGTCCTCTCCTCCCAGATTGGGGGTGGGGAAATGCTGTCCCGAATCCCCTCGGATCTCCTGAAAGGTTAGTTCCCATTCGCGATTTAGAGCTTCTTCTACCTTTGGAATCTGACCAGTCCTGAGTTTTCAGCATTTGAGCAAAGGGACAGGAAAGAAGCAGCCGGATACAATTCGCAGGGCAATTTTTCCAAGCCAGTCAATAGGGACATTTACCTTTTGGAGAGTAGCAAGGGGACCAGCAAGCTCCTCCCCCGCTTTCAAAGCGTTTGTTCTCCCTCACCACCACCCCACCCCACCCCCCACTGCCCTGTTTCGAGCTCTCCATTAATAGGATACTATAAACAATTATATTCAAACTTCTGAGCCTGGGCGACACAATTCTGAGCCGAGCATTGCCATTTCGGGATATGTTCCCTGTCTCCCTTATGTTTTCCTGTGTTTCTCTCCCCCACACGTGCCACAGCTAGATCTCAGAAGACCTTGTTCCGAGAAAGGCGTCGCGGGGTGAAATTCGTTTTCATGGTTCGGAGCGAAGGAACAGTAAGCGAAGCCGCGCGTCTTCGCCTCTGTCCTACCCAATGTTCCACTCTCGCCTCCCCCCCCCCGGATTAAGGCTCACTGGTGCCCTAAACACTGACAAATCTTGGTGTCCCCCTCCTTTGTACATACTGTATAAAGCTTCTTTGTTTTTTGTTTTTTTTTAATTTCTCAACTTTATGGTGCCCCCTTTGGGCCTGGTGCCCTAAGCCCTTGCTTAGTCTGCTTAATGGTTAATACACCACTGCCCCCCACCCCGCACTTTCCTGTTTGGGAGGGGCATGTCGGGTGCCCCCCCCATTGCGAGATCACGAGAATCCGTGAGTGCTGCTCCCAGAGCCCCCTTTTGCACCAGGGCTGTTTCTGCCAGTGGCCCTTTCGCCGTTGCTTGGCAGAGTGATCCGTAAGGAGGTGGGACAGAGGAAGGGTCGCCTTGAGCAGTCCTGGGCTCAAAAAGTCTACCGATCCCGTGTCCAACTCTGTAAAGTCTTCTGGAGTGCCGTCCGGACAGTGTCGGGGAAACCCCCGTAGTCTGTATTTCCTCTGCCAAATGTGATTCAGAGAGGAAAGTGCCGCCGGCCTAACCTTAGATGCCATTACAGCATCTGTATTCCAACACCAACACCACCCCAAACTCGTGCGCTGTCGCTGTACCTTGTGGCCGTGAGTTCCACAAGGGTGAATTCCTATGCTCTGGCTATGGTGATAAGACGATAAAAGCTTTGTTGGATTCTCCATCCTCGCCCCTTTTCGACGCCAAGATGCAACACGCCGAGCCCCTGCGAAGTCGTGGAAAACCAGAGCGCCTCTGGATGTGGCCTAGCGGCCGTTTCCCGGAGGAACATCCTACTGGGCAAGATCGGGCCTGTTCCTCTTTAGGATATTTGATTCGTCTTCCTCTTACCGGTATGCCTACGACCCCTTCCATCCAGCCTCGTCTTCTTCCTCGGGGCTCTCAAGGACTCGACCTCCTTCGCCAACCTATTATTTTTCCCCCGTGGGCCAGGGACTGATGCGGGGCCCTCCTGGCCAGGGAGAGACAGACAGACCAGAAGATGGGGGACAGCTGACGATGCCTTGGAGGTGGGAGGGTGGGAGGTACGGTAGCGGCGAGCCTGGAGCCGGGCGGCTGGGACGAGTCGTCCCTCCGTGGGGGTGTGGATGGAGGCGACGCGGAGCTGCATTTCAGTCCCTTTCCCGGTCCCGTCTGGCCCACGCGAGCTCCGCAAAGCGACGACCAGAACTGAGCAGCGGGAGAGGTCCGGAGCTCAGCCGTCTCCCAAGCAGCGGTGGCGGCAGCTTCGTTGCTCAGCGCTCCGTGAGTTCTCGGCTAGCCACTGGAAACCCCGCCCGGGCTTAGGTCAAGGACGCGCCACTTCGGGGGTTGTGTAGCTCAGCGAACCGTGCGTTAAAAAGAT